GTCGTCCTCTATTTTCTCAAAGCAGAAGACTCCAGGACTCTTGCAAACTAAGGAGACACCTCAGTCCTTTCTCCGCTGTGCTTCCATCTCAAGTTCAGCCCTGACTGCAAATTCCCAGTTACGCCAGGAACAGGCAAGAGTTCAGCAACAGGCAACAGCGACCTCAGCTTCACACCCATTAATTCTGGAGCAAGCCATGGCATGGCATGAGCAAGATGCTGGCCCCCCCATGCTGAGGGGTACGGCCCCATTCGGGGTGCAGGGCCACCAGGGCCGTGCCTGGGACATGGGAGGTGCAGGCAGAGGTGGCAAGCCCCCTGCCCACCTCCTCTTCTGGGTGCTGAACCCCTATGCTACAACTCTCCCCTCTCTCCTCGTGTGTTTTTTGGGGGAGCCAACCAAACCTCTGCACCTTCCTTGGCAGGCGATGCCAGCCTTTAGCCAAAGTGATATTTTCACCTGGTAACCCATTAAGTATTTCCTTCCCTTCACTCTGGTCCAGGTTGAAATCGGTTTTCAAAATACTGAAGGTTTGGTTCCAGTCCAAGGACAGAGGCCCCAAAGCCCTGGCACTGCTTTTGAGGCCGAGCCCTGGACCGTTCTGCCGTCAGTCCGAGACAAGGTCCCGCAGGCAGCTGTGTGCTCCCTCTCCAGCAGCCTGCCAGCACTCCTGCTCCCAAAAGGGTTTGAATAACCTGAGGAAACTGAAATCATACAGAGACGGAACGATTCTGCACTCAGCAGGATGACAATCCAACGCTTCTTAAATAAATATCCTCAAGTTAGAAAAGCATCCTCCAATTTCACAACACTCTTACAGCAACACCTCCAGACACAGAGCAGAACCCCCAGTTTCACCCAGTGAGCTGACACAGGCACGGACAGAGCCTTTTCTTCCCCTCTGTGCTACTCATTTGAACGGTGCTTCCAAGACAGCAGGTCTGCAGAGAAGAACACGTTCTTTTGACTGTCTATTGACATACCTGAAAGTGCTTTTGCAAGATACGAACCCTGGAAGCTGCTGTATCCTTTTCAAAAATCGGCTGCTGTTAAAAAATAATACAGGCAGAGGAGTCCTGCCTCCAAGCCAGAGGCAGGAGGTGGCCAGTGTGCTGGGCTGCTTTGAGCTCGCGCAGGGAGCAGCAGCAATCTGCACCTAGACCTTATCAAGCACAAATGATTCTTTTGTGTGTGCACATGCCTCACATCAACGGTGTGGGGGCAAAAGTAATTGTACTCGGGGCAATAAGAGCGCAGGTTTTAAAGGCTGGGAGACAGGTGCTCTGAGGGTATAAATCAGCATCGGTCCACTGGCTTCCGCAGAGCCCGTGCAACTCACCTGTTTGAGGACTTGGCTGGACGTTTATCCCGACCATCTAGCTGCCACAGGCACTGTAAATTAAATTTCAACAAAGCCCACCAGGCACAAGCTTTGTGCACAAGAGGCAAGGGCATCTTACCAGAAAAAAAAAAAAACAAAAACAAACAAACAAAAAAAACAACAAACAAACAAAAAACAAACAAGCCAACAAATCTGCATAGGGCTTCTCTTGTATTTTTTTCACATCATGACCTCAGCTGGGGTCATGACTGAACCAACTTCATGTTAATGGGAACAGTCTAAAAGCAGCCGGCCAGCATGCTGAACTGCCTTTCAGTGTGCTCAAGCCAAAGAGCTCCAGCGCTGGATTCAAGGGGCTGGTTACAGTTCCCAGCCTCTCCAGTGACCAGCACGGAGGCCCTGAGCAGTGATCTGCAGATAGCACCTATCCTAAATCATTTTGTCTCCTGGAACAGGGCATCTGGCAAAGAACAGAGCCCCTCTGCCTCGCCCCCACCCTCCCACTGCATTTTCAGGTCCTCCAAGCCCTTTCAATATTAAAGATCAAGCCGCCCGCTTCTTCCATCTATACTAAACAACTGTCTGTGTGACACGGAGACAACCCATCAGGCCTCAGGGCTGTTCAGGGATCTGTTTCTGGTTTGCAGCTTTATTATATGGATGGTATCTTTGTAGACATTTCTACAATCACGTTCAGGATCTTTCCTCTCTGTACGCACTCGGTCCTGCTGTGAAAGGCAGGCAGGAGTTCTGCCGCCTCTGCGCTCGCTCACCGGGCATTCCGTACTGATTCTCTGATACTTCCAAAGCAATTGGAAAAAAATAATTATAAGAAAGATTTCTTCCGGGGCTATGCAATTCTTCAAAGTTGGGAGCATATGAATAGTCAAGTTGAAATTGAGCATGCCGCAGTTTAAACCATCTGAAAGTTAATTTTACCATATGGCATCAAAGAAACTTGTTCTCCCTCTCCAATCTCATCTGCTTTTGCAAGAGGATTTCCTGTCCAGCTGGAGTATCCCTGGTCTGGGCTGTGCACCGCAGGAGCTGTGTGTTCAGGGCAGCCGGCACTGCCTGAAACACTGCCGGGAGAGCCGAGCTGCTGGTCGGCCAGGGACCGTGTCCCTCACATGTCACACAAGGGGCCAAATCCTCCCTGCCACCAGCCAAAGCCAAGTTTACCTTGAGCCAGTGAGGACCGAAGAGTTAGGCCCAAGGTATACATGGTATCTATGGCCTAGCAAATAAGGGAACGCAATTGTTCTTTTTTTTTTTTATTTTTAACTTACCAATAGAGCAGAAGATGAACCCAGCAGGAAGAAATTCCAGCTTTCCTTTTAAATTAAAATAGATCCATAAAATCCTGCTAAGTCTATCAGCTAATGCAAGCACTGGGAGGCACCTTAAATACACTTCCCACGCACAGGGTATGTTACAATCATTACATTTAAAAGTCACCGGGGTCTAAGTTTAAAAACAAAAACTACACATACGTTCCTTCCTCCCAAACTTCACTGCATACCCACTCTCTCCTCCTGACCTATTTCTGCTAACGTAGGGAACCCGATCTTGGAAAAGCTCTCAAAGAGAACAGAAATAATGGTGAGTCAGCGATCACCAGATTGTCAAATGTGATGTGTCAACTCCAGCCCAGTGGCACCTCCCGGTGTGCTAAACCTGTTTGATTGCAGGAATTACTACAGGTGGGAGTCAAGAAGAGTAATTTCTTCACGTCCAGTAGATCAATGATCTCCAACAGCTATCAGATCTATTCACAGATTAGAAAGAAAGACAGAAAAAGAAAATGAAATGTCTTTAATGTTCCTACCATGCAGGGCACTGCATATGCAAAATATATGTGTATATGTATAAAAAGTAAATTAGATTCAGATATCAAAAGCTGCACCTGAAGGTCTATGACGATTTTTCATCAATGCATTTTCAATGCACTTTTCAGGTGAGATTACAGCTGAATAGTCGAACGCAAGCGAAAGGCAGGGAGCAGCAGTCACCCAGTCCCCACTGCTGGGTGGAAAACTGGGCCCCACGTTGGCATACGATGTGGGTCATGTCACTTAAAGCTGGAGCAAATGAAAAGCAACACGCCGCTTGCTTTTTTAAGGTTCAGCTGCTTTAGGGAGCTTGCTTTTTTTTAAGGAAAGGCTGCTCCAGTGCTGTTAGGAAATGGGATTGTGGTGAAACAGGCCTGCCCAGCCGGAGATGAGGAGCTGGGTCGGACAGAGGAACTCAGTGTCTTTGATGCCATCTACTGGAAAGGCACCTCCACGACCTGGGACCTGCTGCTCTGCTGGAAACAAAAAAATTACGACTTTCTCCCATGGGGAGTTGGATGCTGCAAGCGGGATGCAGGCTGAGAAAAGCTGCCCGGGCCAAGTGATGCTCTGCAGGATCCACGGACGCACTGGGACCTCCAACAGTGCAGCCGAGGTTTTTGGGAACATGGTGTGCTGGTCCTGCGAGCCTGCAGATGTCCAAACAAAACCAGGGAGGAAGGCAGAGCCCAAGGAACGAGGACTGCCATGGGAAAGGAGGGCAAGGAAGAGGGAGTCCCTGGCTGTCAGGGTCAATCTACAGGAGATTATGGCCCTCTTAGGAAGGGAGAGGAGGGACAGAGCAGCCATTTAAGGGAGGAAGGGCTTCCTTCGCTTCCATCTACAGCCCAGTGCAGGTACTAGTCTCTGAAACCAGACAAAGCTGGGCTGTTGCCCTTAAGTAACAAGAGAAGCAAGATTTGGATGGTATGACTGAAACTCCTGAGATTTTCCCATGAGGATGGACCAAACTTTGTCAAGTCACTCAACAGTGCTGACTAGGTTTTCCTCCCCACCCTTGTCCTTTTCAGTGCACCAGACAGGCTTATTACAAGAAAACTAAGGCTCATTCACCTGCTTGTTTCACATTTCCATTTTTCTGATGCTGATGCTGTTTCCCCCCTAACACGCTGGTCAGATGCCACCGTCTGCGACAGCCCCGGCACTATCTGCAGTTCCCAAATTACTGGAGGGTGCTTTGTGCAAGCACTCTGCAAGACATAGAAACAACACCGGGATGCTTTTTTGAGTCCTAGCTATTTTAGGAAGGTGTTAAATACCATATTTATTCTCCTGGGGGGATTATTTGGGGGTTTTTGTGCCTTTTCTTTAAGAATCCCAGCAGATAAGACCAAGACTGGCCCAAGGTTGTTTTTTTTCTGTCCCAGCAATTACGATTTGCAAAAAGGAAATGTCCCAACTCCATGGCATGTGCTGGCTCCGGTTGTGGAGCCAGCATTGACTTGGAAAGCAGGCACAGCAACCTCAGTATAAAGGCCACTGCTCCCACACTGTCTTCTGAAACGAGCTTGACAACATAGCGACAGCCACGTGGCTTTCTGGAGACAGTGGCCCTTCTTTTCCATAAGAATCTGGCCACTCTAGGGAGCATATACCCTGCCCCAAGTCCTCCTGTGGTTTTACAGTCACATACTGCTGTGCCTTTGGAAAGGTCCTCTTTCTTCTCGCTGTACAAAAGATCCAGAAAATAAAGAAAGGAAAAGAACTAGATACCCAGGGGAAGCAGTAAAAATTATGGCAGACAACATGCGGTTGGTACGCAAACTGCAAACTCAGAACAGATAAACCAAGAGGACAAACTTTTCTCAAATCTCCTGTAATTACACAAAACTTCCATGTTATTTGTATGGGCAGCAGGCTGAACAAGACAGAGGAGAAGCCTAAGCTGCCAGCAGATCTTCACATTTTCATGTTGCTTGTAAATCCAATCCAATAAATATACAGTATAATTACACATTATCATGCCAACAGGTTGTTCTTTATCAGTGTGTTGCTTGTGCACAGCTTGGACATACAGCAGAACCGAGAGTTTTCAAAAGGGATAACAAACGTGCCTGGGAAAGTCATTTATTTGGAAATAAAAACCCTTAAACCACCATGGATCATTAGGAACTCATTTGGGATTTGTTTGACTGGTGTAACTCCGAAGCCAGGACCCACTCCCACGAAGCACACCAGTTGCTGGTGCTGGGTTTGTTCTTCAGCCTGCAGGACAGCTCTCTGCCATGTGCTCCCAAAGGGACATCGGAGGTCACAGTGTCCCCAGGGCAGCAGTGGGAGCCCACCAGGACCCCCAGCACCTTCATGCTCCTGCCCAGTCCCCGGATTCAGCGAGGACCCGCAGTGAGCCGGGCTGCAGAACAGCCCCGTCACATGCAATCGCCTCTTCTTGCCTCCCAGCACAGAATGAAGCATAAGAAGAAAGCAAGGCAGACACATAAATAAAGAAACAAATAAATAAAGACAGGAATCTGGGGCAAAGAGACAGAGAAGGAAAAAAAAATGAGGAAAATGAAAGGATGAGCAAAGACTGCATGCAGTAAGGGAAAGCGTTGACTGAGGGACAAAAAAGCAAATTTGGTGTTATTCTGTTCACGAGGCCACATACATCTTTGCTTAGCAGGTTATGCTGCCTCCAGTGTTCCCTGGGCGTCTGCCACAGAGATCTGGCCTGACTCTCCACACAAACAAATGGGATTGATTAAATTCTATCGCACTCTCAAGGATTCCTATAGGCATATGTCCTATACATTTGCAATGCAGAGATCGGGCCAAATTCCCTGCAGAGTAATTGCTATAGAAAACTCTTGTTTTACTGCCTAGTCAATCTTCTAGGAGTTTCCTATAAAGATAGCAGCTCCTGGATTTACTTGGCAATCAGCCACTCTCCAGATGATGGCCACCTGGGATCAAGTTAGTTTGCTAACCGGCCAAGACAGCGCTGAATACAGATGCAGTCTGCACTCGATCCAGTCCCAGCCAAACACCGTATTGCAGCCCTCACATCCAATACAAAAATACTCGGGCAAGACAGTAAGACTCTTGGTTGCTTTTCGTTTCTTGACACCTTCTACCATTTTAGTGGCTGGTCCCATCAACACCGCCTGCCAGGCTGCCTCGGAGGAGAAGAGGAACTGCTGGTAACCGAGCCAGCACCGAAAAGGTCAGGCAGAAGTGAGGACACTGCCCATTACTCTTGTATAGAGGTTGTTTCATGTCTCCACATGTTTGCAGTGCCCTCGCAGGGGGCTGCGAGATGGGGTTTCTCTCCAGCCACTCTCACAGGATCGTGGACTTTTCCATTCAGAAAACACGGGTACACGTGAGCTGGAAGAAGCACCGCAGCTTTTCTGTATGTTTTTCCTTGAGCACTGCTCTCTTGGATAAAACCCACCTGGCCACGTGCATGGGTTTTGTTGGGAGTGTAGCAGGGCCCTGCAGCACAGGCTGGGCTGGTCCAGCTTTCAGCCCCAGATTCCTCTCCACCTACAGAGCCCAGTAATGGTCAGTTTGCTTTTCCCCCAAACCTTTCAACACAGTCTCATTCCTCAGATAAAGTCAGGAGGGCCAACACAGCCTGTCACCGAGGCTCTGGGGGTTACAGCATCCTGCTCAGAAGAGCCTGGCTTTTCCTGGGAAGGGATGCAAGATGTTCCCACACCATCCAAAGGGGATGTCCCCACAGTATCCGAAGGGAACTGTGCGGGAACAGCTCAGCCATCAGCAGCAAGAAGGTCCCTGCTCAGCACCTTCAACCTGTGCAGCAGATGATCTGGGAAGGAGGGCAGAAGAAGTGCACGCGTAGGAACAATGCCAGCATCAGAGAGGGGCTTGAAGGAAGTTTTCAATCACCCTGGTTTGCCCAGCGCCACCCAGAGATGATTTCTGCCCCTAGGACTAGGGTGTATGATGTTGGGCACTGCCTAAGAGCAGGCAGCCAGTGGCATGTTGGTGTCAGGAGGCAGCTGGAGCTGTGGAGACGTGCTCATGTGCAGCCTTACTGAACTTGGCAGGAGCAAGAGCCATGCTGGGACTGGGACAGATGGCTCCATCCAGTCCCCTCATCAACCAGGATTTGGGCTGTTCACAAAACCCCCTCCTTGAGCCTCGGGACGCAGAGTCACCCTGCATGACAGCAGAGTGACCCACGGCCAGGCAGGGACAGTCGCTGGGATGACACTGGGGAGCTGAGCTGCAGGAACCGAGAGCTGCAAAGTTGTTTATCCATCCCATCAGATCCAGTCGCTCCTTTCGATCCAGGAAGCATCTGTCTGGATGAAACGACGCTCTGTGTTATTATTCAGCGTGGGTAAATTTTAAACGTTTATATGGCAAACTCCACTGCTTCCTCTTAATTGTCTTTTTCTTTTGGTAACAGGCTGTGCTTTGTCAGGGACAAAGCCCTTGAGAATGGCGATACTAGTACACAAGTGTGGGGGAGGAAGGTGCCAGAAGAAGCAATTCTGAGCTAAATAACGTACACTGCAGCTGGAACGCAGGGTCCAAGGCACTGACGGAAGGCAAGGAGTTGACTCCATCCCCCCCTCTGTGACCATCCTATTTAACATCTCCTGCAACACACTTCCAAAAACTTCCTAAGAGCCTGTTAGAGCAAATTCTGAGAAACCTTTGTTTACACGACATGAAAACGCTCTCCCAAGATGTGGTGTGGAGAATATTGCTGCAGCTTTTGTTTGTAGCTGAAAGCAATCCCAGGTCGGGATTTCAAGAACACCTCTGCCTCTTGTGACTGGGGTGTGCAAAGTTTTAAAAGTAATTAAAAAAAAAAAAAAAAGACAAAAAACAAACAAACAAACAAACAAAAACCAGGAAAAAGCGATACATGTGGGAGTTACAAGACTTTTTTTTTTCCAGCTCTTCAGGAGTGATGGGAAAGGCTCCCACCAGCTACGAGGCTGCCAGGTATAGATGGCATGCTCCCTCACCCACGGCCGCACCAGAGCTGCTGCACAGCTGGCAGCAGGAGCCAGAAGCCACTCCTAAACCTCCTTCCCACTGCCAGATACTCCACTTGTGTAATTCTTTTGCCCTCCCTGTGGCAGAAAACCGGTGAGCTACAAAGACCTCAGGAAGTTGCTTCGATTTCCTAACACTTGGAGCGGCGGTTGGTTCTCACATTCAACGCCCTGCCTTCAAAAGGGCTGAATGTGGAGCAGAGCTGGCACTAAGGGTCCTAGCTCTGTTCTGGACAGGTGTAGGGGGGCACATTTTGTGTAGCTGTCCCACCATTTTCCCAAGCATATGCAAAAATTCCTTTCTTTGTTTTGCTCAGGCCGTTTCGCCATCTCCCAGGCTAAAAAGCACTGATGTTCCCTAAAAAAACACCAACCCCGCACTATTCATCACCTTACCCAAACTCTTCAGCGTTTGGATGTACGCAAAAATATGAGTCAGGTGCCAAGGTGAGGGGCAGGCAGGGATGGCAGCATGGGAGCTGGGAGCACGGGACTGTAAAGATACTGCTTTGGCAACCAGGGCACCGATACACCCCCAAAACCACATTCAAACCCCTCGTCCCCTCCTGCCTCCCAGATTACCTGACCTGTCTGGAGTTTGTGGCCTTCCCAGTGACGATGCAGCAGTACTGGTGACAACACACCTCTCCTGCCTGTTCGTATGGGAAGGTGTAGCACGCCAGAGCTGCCGCACCAGTTGAGACAGGCAGCCTGATCTAATTGTGTATTCTGCTTTCAACAGTGGCCAGTTTCTGCCAGTGGTTTAGGAAAATGCAGGAGATTTTATATTAGAATTTGTGCCCTGAGGGAAAATTGCCTTTTGAATTTTATTAGTGAGAATTTGGCTTGTGTCTTCAGGCGCAAAGGCTTACGGTGCTACCAAACCCCTTGGACTAACACCCTGACTCGGAAGGAGTCAAAGGAAATTTTCCTTCTGTCTTCTTCAGACCATTATTTTAATTTTTCAGCGTTTGTTGTTTGGGGGTTTGTGTGTGCTTATGACAACCCTAAAATCCCACAGTGCTTGAGAGCTGAACGGGAAATCAAGGCTATGTGTTTCAACTCCTGCAAGGCACGCTGGACTGGAAAAAATGCTTACTTTTTCGTGGTAAGAAAAGAGTAAATATTCAGCCAAAAGGCAACACAGCTCATAAACCCACAAATGCAGACAGGCCTAGCAATAATGAACTTGCTACAAAAAAGATCAGCAACAATTATTAAACCCCAGTCCAGACATTTTCCTCTAGTATTAAGGGATGATAGAAAAAGGGTTTCCAGGCCTGTAGCTCTGCTCCTTTGCCTGCCTTCTTTTCCACAGATTCTGGATAACCTCTCTTTTTTAACAAAGCCTGTGTTGTCCCAAAGGGATTTTCCTTCTTTTGCTGCTATTCCTGCCTCTAGCAGGGGTTTTCAGTTTTGATAAGGCTCTAGGATGGGCAGGTGATATCCACGGCTTGTCACTGGGAAACTGCAGTCACCTCTCCAATTCAAACATTCACTTGCTACTATGACCTTCCCTGCAGAGGGAATTTCTGAATACATATTGCCTCTCCTTACACGCAGGAAAAAAGCACAGATATGCTGGAAAGAGGAAAAAATAGGCAGCTCCTGAAGAGGGGATGGAAGGAGCTTTGTTCCCCTCCCAACAGCACCAACAGCTAAATCAGCCTATGAAGACCAGGTACTTCTTGCCTGCAAAGCAAGTGGAAGAAGAGTGTTTTGACTGATTCCGGCTGATTTTTGGCCTGTGCCTGCCTTCCTGCGCTCCCGCCTGCATGCCCGGTTCCCACGGCCTCTGAGTGGTGACAGAGAAAATAACCAGAGCAGCCCACGGGCCACGCAGATGAACTCCCAAGTATTTAGATTACTAAACTGCTCCTCCATAAATCTAGCTGATCCTCCGCCGCAGGAAAGGGTCCAGGGTGTTAAATAAATAGATGGTAAATTTCAGAGGATTTGGTAAAATTAGGATTGTCGTTACTTTTCCATTCCAAGAAGACTGATCTTGGTTATAATTATCCCAGCTACATCCAGTCTTTTCAATAGCTCATACACTGATAAATGAAGCGTTCACTCTCACAAATGCCTCTCCTTCCCCTGACGTATGCAATGTGTTCCAGATGGATGGAGAAACATTTTTTTTTTTTTTTTTTTTTACACTTGCTTAGCTATTTCCAGGCACCCAGTGGGCCAGAGCACCAGCAGGTGTAAATCAGCAGAGCTCTGCCAATTTACTCCACTCCTTATATCAGGTAAGAATCCGGCCTCCTATTTCTAAACTTAAAATAACATATTGCACATAGGTGATCATCACTGAGCCTCGTCCCATAAATGAGTGCAGTAAGAAAAAACCCCACCAGACAAACACAAAAGATTGTAATTGCACAAATCTCTTTCGGCAGGCAACGCAGCGTGCCTGCCAGCTCCTGGAAAAAGCCACTTTAATTAGGCTGATTTAAATGCAGACAGGTTGTTGGTTTTTTTTTTTTTTTTTTTCTTTCAACTGAGGTCTCTGTAGCCATTATGTACGAACAGGAGTTGGCCTCAGAGTCCTCAGCCAAAACCTTTCGCTCCACTAACGGGAGCCAGGACAGAGGGAAGAGCAACCTCAGCAGAGCCTGTGTGAGCCAGCCCAAAGGAGACCTGCACCTCCAACACCTGACGAAGGGAGACAGAGATGCTTTTGGGATGAAAAAGGTCAGTGCTGCCCTGTGGAGGAGCATACTCTCCCTCTGCCCAGCCACGCTGGTCCTCCGTGGTGCCCAGGCTTTCCTCTGTGCACTGTGATTTTCCGAACGCTTGCCCGGGGCCAGCTGGGAGCCCATCTGCAGCAGGGCTGAGCCCACACAGATGCCCCCGCAGTGGCTACAAGCGGCGATTCCAACGTATGTTTATGTGTAATGCTCAAATACTTTCAAACTATAGCACGTGAGCAACTGACCCTGTGGCCAGCGTTGGTTTGAACCTCCGTGCCTCTTGTCCCCGCGTGCATAGTTAAGGCAGGATCTCAAAGCTCTGCTCCAGAAATAAATGCATTAATGTTTGCATTTCGCTGTCAGAAAGGCATGGGAGAAAAATCCACGTGGAAACCAGTGACTGGCAAGGTGAAAAAGTTGCTCTGTAAGTGCCCCCCCCCCCATACGAGGCCGTGGCTGCTCTGCGCGATGGGGAGACAAGGATTCGGCGTGAGGAAGGGGATGTGAGCGTTTCATTAAGGACTGCTCCTCACAGCGCATGCACAATACGGTTGAATTCATGCTGCTACAGTCTTTTAACACGTAATATTTTTACCTGAACGTTGCTTGACAACTTGTACTACAGACAGCAGTGTTGGTCATCACCGTGCCTCTGGCCAGCATCTCACAGCCAACGAGCCCGCTCCCTCTTCCCAAGTCCTCCGCACCCACCTCCAGCTCCGTGTGTGAAACAACAGGTTGGCAGTCTAGGGACGTGTTTTCAAAGAAACACAGCTTCAAAAGCTTATATGGATAAAAATCCAGCTTTGTGCAAAACTACTGTATCATGAAGCTCGGGGACTGTGGAGAGCAGGCTGATCAGCTGTGCCAAAAACTGCAGGAAGGGACTTTTCAAGGCAAAAGTCCATTTGCTTTGGTAAAAGCCAACTCCCCACCTCTCTACATAGTTTAAAGATGACAAGGAAGTCGAGCATTTGCTAGAACATCTCAACCAGCAAGGAAAAATAAAGAGCTTCGTCTGCAATAAAAGCCAGCTCTTCTAGTGTGTGCCTTGCTTTCATTTATGTCAGCTCCATTAGTGCCCTGTGAAACAACGTGTCTGTAATGGAGCAGCTGACCTACAGTGGGACTGGCACTCACCACTAGCACACACAAGATTTATTCCAGCTGTTTAAGTTTAGGTCCCTGCCTTTCAAACAGTTATTCCAGTTAGACTGCACTTAATAAAAAGTATCATAAACTCACAGAATCACAGTATGGTTTGGGTTGGAAGGGACCTTAAATCCCATCCAGTGCCCCCCCCCTGCCCTGGGCAGGGCCCCCTTCCCCCAGCCCAGGGGGCTCCCAGACCCGTCCAACCTGGCCTTGAACCCTTCCAGGGAGGGAGCATCCACATCTTTTCTCTGGGCACCCTGGGCCAGCGCCTCACCACGCTCACAGGGAACAATTTCTTCCTTACATCTGATCTAAATCTCCCCTCTTTCAGTTTAAAAATGTTACCCGTTGTCCTACCCCCACCCCCTGACCCAGAGTCCCTCCCCACCTTTCCTGCCCCCCCCTTTAAGCCCTGGGAGGCCGCTCGAAGGGCTCCCCAG